CCAAGGGGAATCATACCACTAGACCAGCAGACCCTCACATACAGAGTCTTCGACGCTGTGTCTTATCACCCCCCTCCAGCCAGACCTCCCTCCCCAATTTTCCCGGTGCCTCCGGCACCAGGCTGGAGGGACGCCTGCGGCGCCCTCCAGGATCTTATAGTACCATCACCCACTTTCCAATCAAATTCAATTGCAAGAAACTAGTTACACTGACGCTATCCCCACATCAGCACCTCCTTAAAGGCATCATCCCCCTCAACAAGTGCTTTGTAGACATATACACGTTGCAAAATATACGGCAGACCAACAAACCCCGATACCGTCAAAAATCGATGCTCGCTCTCGACCGGTTTCTCACCAGCATTCCGGTTGCACATATGATCCATTTGCACCCACTTGTTGTATTTCGAACTCCGAACCGAGACCATTCCACAGCCCTCGACAGTGTGAATGCAAACCTTGACCTTTCGAGGGTTGTGCGCAATGGCCGACATGAGCGACGTCCCAAACTTTTTATTCGACAGCGTATGTTGCTGTCGAGAGTAAATGTCGCCAAGCGGGAGACTCTCCCGCTCAGCCATCGCACGTAGGGCGATCACGAGGGCACTGGCCAAGAGGATCCGCGGCTCGGTATCCTCGCGGTGCCAAACCAAGTCCTCCAACCCACTCAAATCAAGGCCGGGAGGAAGAAAAAGCAAAGGAGAACCACTTGCATCGGTCAGGAATTGAATTGCAGGCGTCGAGGAAATCCCCATCTCAGTCAGGTCGTCCTCCGTGACAAAATCAAGCATTCGAGGATACTCGATCAGCTCATGCAAGAACATGACTCGAAGATAGCCGCCAAATTGACTGACTGTACCACGGGCTCGATTGATCATGGCCGTGCACTTGTCCGCCTCGTCTTCAATACGACAGCGGTGCTGGGTATTCTGGTCATGTCCGATATCGGGCTCAAGGCAGCCGTTACAAGTCACCACACGTGTTGCTTGAGCAAAATCTGTAAATTTGCCACGGAGCGTCTCCCGAGCGGCAGTGTCGAATCGGACTAGCAGGACCGCGCGTCGGTAACTACCATACCTGTCCGAAAGGGCCTGACGATTACGCAGCGCCTCGAGTTTATTATAACTGGCAAGACGCTGATAATCCCGTTGGACCGCTATGAATGCCTCGGGGCTCCGGCCGTATCTGTTGGCGGACCATAGCAGACTGACACCTTCTTCCCGACCCAGAAGCCACTGGCCGTATAGTTCACTCTCCGGTGAGCAGCCTTGTGGTCCGGAAAAGACTTGGAAACCGTTTTGAGAGGATGTAGAGGCTAGTTGCCTGAGCTGATCAAGCTGCTGGGAGCGTTCGCGACTAAAAGGCTGTCCCACGGCGACAGACCCAGACGTCCGACCACGAGTAATCTTTGAACGCCCAGACTCGTACCGCACGAGCTCGCCATGAACGACATGCCTGCCTCGTAAAACTGCATCCGCCGTCTCCGCCTCTTGCAGCTGAACAAGCCACTTGGCGAGAAGTGTCTCGAGCCCTTCCTTTTCGAGCCTCTTCTCCACATCTTCACGTGCCGCTACAAGAAATGCCCGCCGACCGTCTGCAGTGTTATCGGGTGGTGAACTTGCAGCAAGGTGGGCAAGAACACGTCGTGTGACATGTCCTTTGAAGGTCACCAGGAATCCGACCCGCAACAAAAGCAAAAGCAGCCATGGTCGATGAAATTCTCGGCCCGGGTGGATCATGGGCAGATAGAGAGCCAGTTGGTTTGGGGAAGGTCCCGTGGAGACGATGAGCAGACGTCCGACTACCGATAGAAAGTCGGGATATTGTGGAGGGGCCATGAGAGACTTGATGTGTGGGTGATGTACGACGCCAGGGTGCAGGCGGTCGTTGGTATTGGTTTCGACGGCAAGGAGAGCGAGAGTAGACTGTGTAAACATGTGTGCTGCAGGGACTCCGTATCCAACAATGAGGAGTGGATTCAAAGGCTTGAGCAGAACGCATAGCATTACGACCATCAGCCCCCACCACGTCTGAACGACGAGCAACCTCCATATATCTATGCACACGCCAAGATTTTGGCGAAAGTCGGCGTCAAAGTCGACTCCGTCCAACTTGTGAATGACCTGCATTCGATCCCAGTGGAGAGCCATAGCACGGCCCATACCCTCAGAGAAGAACCCTGGCCGTACTCTTGCCCGAAAGTCTTCGCCCGGAACTTCGTTGAGGAGGTCCATGTCAATGAACAGTCCGTTCACGGTACGTAGGTGGCCACCCAGGTTCTCTTTGATTGCCCGAAAGGCCTCTTGGCTGATCTCGGGACCGAGGTCGTGGCCGTCCTCGCGCATTTGCCTCAGAAAGTCGGCCTCTCTGTCAATCAAAGTGTTTAGATTGGCAGATAGTTCCGCGTTTGGTGTTGCTTCTGGGCGGGCAGGAAGGCCAAGGGCCACCCGTTCACAGGCCTCCCGGATGGCGGCGGGGAGCCTGTACCGCGGGATGAATCCTCCGGCGGCAGAATTGAGGGGAGATGGAGAACAGATCAAGAGAACTCTCTCCAAATCGGACAAGATATCTCTACGACGCCAGTCCAGCCGGTCGGCAATGTCGACTCGCCATCGCGGGATTTCGTACACGCGCATGTTCTGAACCAAACTTGGATCGGCCATCCTCAAAAAGTGGAGAAACCGACACTGTGGCTTCATCATCAGGTCCCCCGAGTGTCGGCCAAATGCGGAAAAGGTCGTGGTCCCGCCGTACTCTTCTTGGACATTAGCAGAGGTCGTGCACGCCTGGACGTTAGTATCGGCCGCGATTAAACACGAGGGGGAGACGGTAAACTCGGCTCCGGCAAAGCCACACACGCAAAGGGTATTTGATAAAGTGACATTGGCAATGTCCGCCATTGCGTTGACGGCCATTCGAGAGGTCGCAAACGCCGCATCTATTGGCTGACGTTCCATGTAGCTAACAAACTCTTCCTGGGCAATGTTCCTAGGGCGCGAATAGAGGCGGAGGTAGTACTTTTGCGTCGATTTGGTGTCGTGCGTCAACTGGTCTTCGGTGACGGGCCGTAAAACGTCTGGAAACGAGCACGGATCAAATGCGTTCAACGATGTCGCCTTGGCACAAAGCATCGGAGCGGCATGCTCGACGAGCTCCCAGAGCACAGGGTCGTCTGTTGGAGGCGCGACTTCTTCGATCTTGCATGTCCACGCAACCAAAGCCTTGATTCGTTCCGGCGGGGACTGTGACGCATTGGATAGCGTACGCGTGGTCATTTCATATCGTTCCACGAGTTGCCGATGGTGTCTAGCCAGCTGATATGCGACTTTTGCCGTATGCATGGCAGAATTTTTGGAGGTGACATTGACTGGGAGTGCATTGGTCGCCGGTTGGGACCCTTTTCCGTTTGGCTTCACCTTGGTGTGCGTACGGACGAGTGGCCTAGAATGCAGTTAGAACAAGCCGACGAGACGCATGAATTGGGCAGAGTCGATGTTGGCACGTGCATGTTGTAAATATTAGCTTTACGGGTGCGCCGCCGGCCTCGTCCAAAGTTGACGCCTGCCACCACCCACGACCAGTTGAGAAAACCTCTTAATCTTAGAGAGCTATCGAAAGAAATGCATTTTTCGTCGCGAGCCTGTCCGCGAGAACATGCCGGTCACCTTCGGCGGGTCTAGATCGCTGGGGCTCCATTTACTTGGTCAATGCAGAGCCTGCCCACGAGAACATTGATGTTTTGCATTCAAAGGAGATGAGATTCAGGGGCAAGATCGCGACGGGATGAGCCGGGCGTGTTGCGCGAATCTCTTCTGGTCGCGCGCGATCGCAGAGCAATGGAAGCGTCCCCGTACGCCCTCTTTCAGCTGCAGAATGGTCTGAAAGAAAATGGGTACATTTCTCTCTAGGTTGGCCACTTCCGAGTCGCCATGTACGTCCCTCTACGTCCCTACGTCCCGTATACTCGTACTAATCCCTTCGCAGGTCGTCCAAAGCCTCCACTTCTAAAGCCGCCTCCACTTCCAAGGCCACCTCTTCGACTGCGTCCAAGGCGACTACCGCGGGCAAGAGAAAGCGCGAGGCATCGACGGGTCCCCTGTCCCCGACAAAGGCCAATGCTGCAGCACCCGCCAAAAAGATCAAAAAGGCCGAGGTCGAGGTTCCATTTGCACCCATCAACGTGCCGATCCAGCCACGGCCCTCGTCTCTGGCCAGCGCGCCAAAGGTCGCCCAGCTGCTCAAAGCCACGCACGACACCATCCTCAACAAGCACTCTGCCGTCCAGAGGATCCTCTCAGACGAGTCCAAGCTTCCTATCGATCGCATCAAGGAGCTGGTCGCATGGACTTGTGCCGCTGAAGAAGTCTGCCCGCCAACCGAAGACCCCTCGCTCTGGGAGCTTGTGGAGCACGCTGCTCCTATGCTCTGCAACCTTGCCACGTCCCCAAATTCGTTTGACCCCCTCGAGTGGCCCGACGTGCTCGTGTCCACCACCGAGCGCCAACTGGCCGGGGATCCACAGACGCTAAAGTTCTACCTACGGCTGTACTCACGCCCATGGAGGACCGCTCGGCAAGAGTATCAGACCTACCTGGAAACCCAGCCCATTGACGCCTCCTTTGCGACAGCTCGGATGGCCATCAACGGGATGGCAGACGTTGCCAACGCCGCTCTATCCAACACGCTTGGCCTCTGTGGCTTTTCCGGGGCTGCATTCGAGGTGACCAACCTCCACCATTCCTCCAAAAGCAAACCGGTCCAGGA